GGGCGGGGCGTGGGCTGCGGCGCGTGAGCCTAGAGGCCCTCCGAGGCCCGCCGAAGCCCGAGCCCACCCGAGCGCGCCCGAGCCCGCGGCCCCCGCCCGGGGCGATGGAGCAAGAGCTCGGTGGGGAGGCCGCTGCGCTCCTGCGGCAGAAGAGGGCGGCGCTGCGGCGCAGGGGGTGCAGCTTCGAGAGCCCCAGGTACCGCGGCCAGGAGGGGTGCGGCTGGGAGGGGCGGAAGCGGGGAGCCGGCCACGTGTGGGGGATAGAGGTCGGAGGGAACCGAGGGCTGCGAGGCCGCGGCGCGGGGTGCGGCCGCTGTGGGGGAGGTCTGGGCGAAGAGCCTGGGCGAAGCGGCTGGGGATCGAGGGGGCTGGACCGCCCTAGCGGCAGGTGTGGAAGGGGGTCGCCCCAGAGAAGAACCTGGCGAGCGTCGGGAATCCAGACCGATTGAGACGCCCGCAGAACGTAGGTCCTGTGGCAGGCCCGGAGCAGAGCTGTGGCTCTAGGCGGAATCCGGGCTGTGAGAATATGCCCTGCCGGCCTCTTGTAAATTGCTCAAGGACAAGGTCGGGAAATAGCCCAGCTAAAGTCCAAGGGAGGTTTCCCTCCTCCGGGAAGCCTCTCTGCGTCGCCCCAGGACCCGGGCCAGCGCCAGCCTCCCCATCCTCGCTCCGCATGTAACGCACACCTGCTGCCTCACAGCCCCACCCATCCTGGCGCTGTGTGGCCCCCAGCAGGTGGGGTCTCCAGTGCCCCTCTGACCCGCCGACGCCTTTCCTCCGCTGGGGATGCCCGTGCCTCTCCTGGCCCCCTTCCTTCGGCCCGGGGACTCTCCCGAGATGCTCGGTTCCTTCTCCTCCCTGGAACCTTGCCCCACAGACACGCCCTCCTGGTTTGGCGGCGCTCCCTCTACTCTGCCAGACTCATTCCCTCAGAGGGCATTTTCTTAACTTGGAGTGCATTCTCCTGCTCCAACATCGCTAATGATGGCCCTGCTATTTTTCAGCTCCCCCCCCGTACCCCCCCCTCCCCGCGCTTCTTCTAGATGACTCCAGCAGCCTCTCCACTAGGCTTCCCGTCTTTATTCTTCCTCCTCTCGAATCCACATCCTCACTGGCTGCAGGGGGAGTCTCACCCAAACTGGCAGCCGTGCCCCTCCCTCGCCCCTCCCCTGCGCCGGCCATCAGGATCTCTGTCAACCACAGATGGGGACTCGGGTAGGGGACAAGGAGAAAGATAGAAAGTAGGACTCTGGCCCCCGCTGAGGCCAAAAAGAGGGTTCCTCTTTGGCTAGGCTAGAAAACAAACCAGTATCCTTAATATGAGGTATGAGTCCTTGCACACCTTGCCTCCCCCTTGGTGCTCCAGCAGCACTGGATGAGAGTGACTATAAGCATCATGAGGACAGGGGCCGTTGCTGTCCTGTTCACTGCTCGGTCTCCAGAACCTGGCTCAGGCCTGGCCCATTACAGACATTTACTATCTGCTAAATGCCTGACCAGCTGGGAATCCTTGTCTTATGCTGTGCTTTTTCTCATCAGTGCCTTTACTCATATCGTGCTCTTTTCTCTGCTTAGAATGGTTATTTATTCACTGGATAATGCCTACCCCTCCTCCTCTAGGAAGTCTTCCCTGAACCCCAGGTCTGAACTCTGTGCTGTATCAACAATCTGCATTATCTGCTCTTCCACATACCATTGCATGTACTTACCTGGATAATATGCCTGGCAGATCCTATTTGTCTGGGAGAACCACACAAATATGATTGATCTCTGTCCCTCTGGCACTTACTGTCTTGTTGCTGGAACATGAGGATGAGGAAGAGTGTACCAGGAGATGAGGCTGAAGAGATGAGCCCAGACCCGGATCCAGGCTGGATCTGGGTGTGAGGGAGAAAGCTTAGATCAGCGCTGTCCAACAGAAATTCCAAAATATCCTATCATCTGTGCTGTCTGATAGCCACTAGCCACCTATCACTACTGAGCACTTGAAATATGGCTAGTGCAACTAAGGAGCTGAACTTTAAATGGTATTTAACTTTAATTAATTTAAATAGCCACATGTGACTAATGTTTACACTATTGGACAGCACCAAATAAAAAGTTTTTCCTTCTCTGAATTCTCACTTTTACCACCCTCTCCTTTGTCCTCATGAGCTTACACACCTGAATGACTAAAGCACTTCTTGGCCCCCAGAGGCTTTTTTCTCTATTTAACACCCCATAGTATTACTGTGTAAACCTTAGAAATAATGATTACCACTTTTCTGATGACAAAAATAATTTATGTTTGCTGGAGGACAATTTATTTAATCCGCCCTTTATTATTTATTGTACATGCAGCTAATTGCCAGATTGTCACTCTTAAACTAAAGACACATTGAATCCATGTGCGTTAGCCTGTGTATGAAGAGGTACTCATTTCCTTCAGGTAAATTCTCAGACGTGAGAGGGATTATCGGATCCAAGAAAATTAACATTTTAAAGGCTTTTGAAACATAATGCCACCAGAAGTTGTACCATTCTACAGCTCTCCCCAAAGCATATACATGTGCCTGTTGTTTTCTCATCCCCAATGCTAAGCATTATTATTTATAAATGTTTGCCAATACGGTACCTTTGTTTTAATTTGAATTTCTTTGTTTAAAAGGGTTTATTCATAATTTGTATTTCTTTTTAAATAAAATATATTTTCTTTATATTTGTGCATGCACTTTGTCCATTTCCCTTTGGAATTTCTCTTTTCCTTATTGAATTGAAGCACTTTTTGTTTATTAAGGGAATGAAGTTTTTTGGTCAAATATGTAGCAAATATAGTTTGCAGTTCATTATTTGCCTTTTAACTTTATTTATGGTGTTTTTTGTTAAAGTTTTTACTGTCGTTTTTTTTTATATATTCAAATCTATTCCTCTGGTTTATGCTTAATTATGAAAGACTTCCCAACTTAAAAGAGATCAATGTTCGTCTACCATTCTATTGTTTTTGTTGCTTTTTAAAAAATTACCTCCTTAATCCATTAATCTACATTATTGCACTTTTAAATGAGACTGTTAAGTGCTATCATGTATTGGACAGACATAATGGGCCCTTAGGACTAACGGGAGAACCACCTGTGAAAGTTCTTAACCATACAAGTGTGTGGGTCCTTACCCCAGGACTAGTGTTCCAGAAAGGCCAGGGTGGTTGTGGGG